AGACGACCCCCTGAGGGATTTTATTAAATTTGAATGTCAATCAAATATGAACACAAGTATGCTCAATTAAACATATTTATAGGCAAATTAAATCATAACAGACTACAATTTTGTTAGTATAAAACTAAATCTAAAATCTTAATGCTGAAGGCCTGACCCACCACCATCAAATGTCTTCTTTTATTTTTCTTTTAACTTTTCACTGTAATGATGGGCTGTATAAATAAAGTTGGCTTGCATGGCACTTTCCATCTAATTAGGCTACTTGTGGCCTTCCTTGCCTGGGTTGGTTAGGTTTAGGCATGAGGAGTGAAATAAATCAGATTAAAGGTAAGAATATCAGGGCAAGCCAAGCAGAGTAAGAGCTGACTGCATGCTGCATGGTAGTCTACCTTCTGTAACCGCTAAGATCAAGGCCTGTCTGACCGCAAACCCCAAACATCCAGACAACGAAGAAAAAGAGAGAGCCAATAAAGTCCTACTGATTATCACGGTTAAAGCTTTATTTTCCTATCCTATGCTATGTTTTCTCTCCATTGTGGTAAAAACAGTTCTGTTGTCTTGCTATACACAAGCCCTGCAGTCATAGCTGACTATGAGATGAACTCAACACTGCTCTGACATTCAGAGTGCGTAGCAGAGGTGGACACATGTGACTAGCCCATAAACAATTACATACACTGTGTCAAAATGTAACTCGTATCTATTGTATGCTTTCATGCCCATTAAAAAGACGTTTTATTTTTCTGTGCAAAAAAGAAGGAAAATAACACAGAAACAACTGTTTCATTGACGTCATAAACATATGAACTATAATCCAGCCTGACAGTGTGTAGCTTTTCAAGTCTCAAGACAGTTTTTGAGATAGAAATATAAATCCTGTGATTCGTGTACAATGGATATGTATTTTCCTTTTTTTTGTGTCGCTCAGCACGAGAAAATAAATGCCAATAGAAAGTCAATAAGGGTCCTTTTCTCGTGGTGGACACAAATTAAACGCATCCATCTGACTATGCAACAGTCAGAGGTAGTGACCATAGATATAAGAAGTGTAGGTAGTCATCGTGACGTCACCCATTGGTTTGTGTGAAGTAAGCATTTGCGTTTGTGACGATTTTCCTAAACCTGATGAGGTTTTGTTGCCTAAACCTAATTTTACATACTTATTTTTAGCCCAACCATGAGGTTTCTCCTGAACGTGACTAAGTGGGTTTTGTTGTACCAACCGACATTAAAAAAACATGGTGCAGGCACGAAAGTGTGACCGTTGCGCTGAGCGACAAAAAAAATGGAAAATTTGTGTTCGTGTACACAAATCACTAGATCAATTTGTTTTGTGAATACAGTTTTCTGTTTCATTCTGAAAAGTCCGCTTTTCTATAAACCAAGTTCAAATCAAATTTCTTCTTTTAACTTTTCATTGTAATGAAATGGGCTAGATAAATAAAGTTGGCTTGCATGGCACTTTGCATCTATTTAGGCTGCTTGTGGCCTTCCTTGGCTGGGTTGGTTAGGTTTAGGCATGAGGAGTGAGATGAATCAGATTAAGGGTAAGAATATCAAGGCAAGCCAAGCAGAGTAAAAGCTGACTGGGTAATGCCTTCAATGGGACATTTTTTGGACTTTTGGGGGTTCGGAATAATGGAATGGCAACCATTTGTTATTGTTGGATAGCTATTATGTTATTTTGTTAGATGGCGGTTTCTAACAAGAGGAAAGAAGAAGAAATCTGACATTAGTATTAATGCCAATGGGGGTCTTCTGAAAATCATACTCGTACACATTTTACCAAAAAGGTATTTATTTGTGGATCACCTTCCATATGAGTCTCATATTAACAGTAAAACAAATTGTATGGGTATATCCTTAAAAAACACAAAGGCTTATTTTTGTACTGTAAAAATATTACATCAAATTGCTTCAAAAATACTTCTTTTAAATGCGACGCTCTGGCTCTATCTAGTAGACAGTAGGTGAACTAAAGGCAGAGGAAGATCCCCCTCCTATGTTCCATTCTCACGTACTGCTCCGTTCAAGAGTTCATGGCTGAGACCATGTTGGTTGTCAGGGTGTCAACAGTGCAACTGACAAGAGATGTTGGGTTTTTGTATAATGTAATATAACAGAATCTTTGGGGACCCCACTGCAGATATAGGGGCTGAGGATGAAGACAGTGAGGGATCTGTTGAATAAATACAAAGAAAACATTCTACTCTCTTCTCTTTCTATTTCTGGTGATGAAAGCCTTTTGGTTAGGGACAAGGGCCATCTGTGTCACTTATGAATTATAACACGACGTGTAGGCTCACGATAGCTGTTTTTAGCTTCACTGGGAGGCTGAATGTTGTAAAAATGACCAGACACACATATTGCATGAAAGCAGAGCTAGTGGTATTGTTTATAGTCCAGTAACTTTACCTAAGAATGTGGGTCAACCTCACAAATTGCAACAAAAACTCAATGGATTTTGTGAACTGTCCTGAGGAATTGTATGAGAGGAAAGTTTTGAAACCCAGGTCTGGTCCTATTCTCCCCAGATCTAGTCCTATTCTACACATATCTGGTCCTATCCTTCCCAGATCTAGTACTATTCTCCCCAGATCTGGTCTTATTTAACCCAGATCCAGTCCTATATTAGCCAGAACTGGTCCTATTCACCCCAGATCCGGCCCTATTCCAAGATTTCACCTTCGGATTATTGATTAGCACTTTTTGTATGCCAAAGAGGACACCTTTAGGGGTGCATTACACATAAAAAGCTTTTGTTTCAGTTTGTGTGAGGTCAAGTGACATTATTATTGGACTGTTAGTCCTAGACCACACATAGATGTGATAGATATTCTGGAAAAGGAAGTATCTGTACTATTCTGCATTAGATCCTTGAATAACTCATTATCCTGGGGAGAGAACACACAATGTTGCTTTGAATTGTACTTTTGTGTGTTGACAACCGGCCTTGTAATGAGTCGCATCCTATGCACCAACAAAATGAATTTGTATGCTTCACCCAGTTATGGAGCAGAGCAACACAATGAGTCTCTTCCAGTGAGTCCCGTACGAAGCGAAACACATCTGATAAGCCATATTTTCTAACTCCACAGTCTGTGCAATTTGATGTGTGAACAAAAAAACGAAAACATATTACTGAAACAAGACGATTCTTAACCTTTGCCTGAGTTTTATGTTGCTTGTCAGGATACCATGGCCTACGAAAAACATTTTGAAAAATGTAAGGGCTATGTTGATGTACTGCTATAAAAAGGTTTCGGTCTCTCAACTCACGCAACCGGGAGGAAGGTGATGAAACCGTCTAGAAAAGAAAGCACCAATTTTAGAGTTTCAGAATGGAAATGGCTGAATCACAACCCATGCTTCCTGTTTTCTGTGGCTGCAATAGCTGTGCTACATTTACAATCTTGGAAAATTCAAGCTTCACGAGGAAAACGGAGACTAGCCCTTAACAGTATGCTCCACATGCATTTATTTACCAGTGTGATATTTGCAGTGGGGTCAGGGATCTTTGACATATAATAATAAAATAAATAAATATAATGATAAAAAAAAAGAAATACACACCTATACACATTAGTTGAAACCCTATAAATCATAATTCCCTTATGACATTGACTCCTGACTGATCTCATTCAGGGTACTAGCAAGCTAAAACACAGAAACTAGACAAGCGTCTCTTTTGAAAATATGAGGACACTGACCCTGTGGAGTAAATATCACGGCTTGACGTGGTTCAGAGCTGCAGACATAAACACGTCCATTGATTATATGAATTGTGCTTTTTATTTTCAGTTAAGTTACTCCGGAGGGGGTAAGAGTCCCTCACCATGATGTTATTTGAGTATAATAATATTCTGAGATCACAGATTATTGTACAAGTAGTTTGTAAGTGAATAATAGGTTGACAATGTAATGTTAGTAGAGATAAGTATTGAGAGTAGAGAGTTGGCTCTTCTTATGCAAAATTAAAAAAATAAAAAGTAACATTATAGTAATTCAAATGTACTTCCATGGAAGACTTTACACAAATGGACAAAACAATGACAGAACATGGCGAGTTAGTTAAATGTAAGGCCACAGCCAGGAGATAGTTCGCTTATTGGCACAGAGGGTGGAAGAGATGCTTATTCAGTCTCTTGTTGAGAGTCAAATGAGAGGATTAGGACTGTACAATAAATATAATTGCTAATTAAATATGTACATTAAATATAAAGCTACAGCCAGCAGGCCGTTAGCTTAACGAGAAACAGGTGGAGGTAGCTAACGTTAGCCTGACTCTGTCCAAAAACTCCCCCAAAAACCCCTTTAGCGGGGAGAAAAGAGGGAGAGACCTGTGGGAGAGCAACAGAGGAGGGATCACTCTCCCAGGATGGACAGAAGTGCAATAGATGTCATGTGTACAGAATGAACAGCATTACAGAGTTACAACACATTCAATGCATGACAGAACCACGGCAGGAGACAAGACCAGGTCCAGGTATAACCAAGATCCACGGGAGCCTGCGAGGCGAGAAAGCACAGAGACTCTGGTGAAGAAGCAAAGTCAATAATGTGCATTAATGGTATCGGTAATAACTGTTGCGTCATTTGAACTGCTAAGGTAGCCCTTACCAATTTCTTTCAATGCTAGTTGATATTAAAAACACCGTAGGACACTGGGAACAGATGACCCTGATACAGCCATGGTCCTGCAGACATTGAGAGAGTTTTTAGACTTTTAGCTAAAATATTCTATAATCCATGGCTCAATTGGCTCAGTTCACCAGCAGCAATGAATGGAGATAGTGTGCTAAATAACGGTTCCAGTTGCAGAACGACAGAACTGCTCGTCCTCCTTCCCTAAACCCATATCTCCAATTAAACCACAAAAGCCAAGACATCTGGGACTCGTCATTGTGTCAACTTGCAAGTGAGACATTATTGTGTCACAGCAGGAAGTCCTGACATCCTAGAGCGCTTTAAAAGGACCTAATTCCTCAAACTGCAGCAATCGTGAAGCGGGGACCTTTGAATCACTGACCTACATGAAAATACAAAGGTAAGAAAACCACCTTCATCCTCTGCAGATTCTGTTCCACGTTTTTATTTTTTGTTTTGAGCAGTCGTGCCTCTTCGGTTCATTATAAATGAACTGGACGAGTGTGTTGTGCTTGAGCTTGTAACATTCCCACACCCTAACAATTGGCAACACATGAGCAGTGTGTCTGAGCCACACATGCGCGCTAATAATTTTCTACGGCCTCTTTTAAATGCTGACTGTGGATAATCAGGCTTTCTGTGCCTTCAACACAATGAATAGATGCTTGGAGATAACCATCTTAATTTCCCAAACAGAAGTCAGTGGGACTGATTTTGCTGTAGTCACAATGTCTTTACTCAAAGCGCAACCTTTCAACATGCTATGACAGGATTGACACCGTTAGAGGATCAAAGCGTGTCAAACCCTGCTTGTTCAGGGAAACAATGTGCAGTGAGCAGTCAACAGTATAGTCTACTTACTGAGTTATGCGTATGTGCACCTACGAGTCTGCTAATTGGTGAAACCCTAAAATATTTGGTTTAAATCGGCAGAGGGCTAAATATTTGTTTTTTACAGAGGGCCATGCTGATTTACGTAAAGTAAGCAAAGGGCCACACATTGGACAATATCATGGCATAGAAATGTTGACTTTTATTTTTTTTTATTTACAACTGTATGAGTACTCTGAGGTTACAATGGAAATATGACTTACATAAAACAATCCACTTAAATACAGCATCAACTTTGGAATTGGCCTTTGCATCTTGCCAATTGTCTGGGGCCACTGCACAGTTCATCAATGAAACACATCGCATTATGTTATAAACATGGACACAAGGCTTTACAATGATGTAATATTGACCTTTAGAGTACAGAGCTGCATCACCGCATGACAAAAAAAAAATAAGACACTAATTACGAACAAATACAATGTCATATTCATAAATATATCCATTCATTATTTTCACTACAATCGTTTTATGTTCTGTTATTACTTGGGTAACTATGTGACAGTTTATACTTCACTCAAACTTTAATACCATTGTAGGACAGACATGCATAACTAAATGACAATTAACAATTACTTTGTCCGAATTAATACATAAATTCCGTTTCTCGTTGATTAATTCCTGTAACTGTGTAACTAACCTGTGAGAATGAATTATTACTGTGAGATATTGATGAATTACACCATTAGTCATGGAAAGCTTTTCCATAGCCGTGTAATTTAGCCTGATGGGAACAATAGATACAGTCAACCCTCTTCGCAGGACCATCAAACTCTGGCGTCATGTCCGATGTTGAAATACTCAGCACAGACGACAGATGATCTGTGGCGTGACTTTTCGTAGTTCATCACAGGAAAAGTTAGTTGCCACGCACACACGGGTGGAGCCAAGCAAAGCGAGCGTCCTCTCAGCTCCAGTTCTAATTCAGTCGTAGCAACATCAACAACAAACACAGAGCGTGGAAGGTTTGCGAGAGTAGTGGAGTAGAGTAGAGCACGTTTCTGATATTCCTTTGAGGCCAAATTGAGATGTTGCCCATGTGTGGTTTGGATGTTGTCGATACTTAGTCTTGAGTGCCTAATATATTTCCTGCAGAAGTGAGGAACAAGGTTTAACCACATTGGATATGAGCAGAACATTACCTATTTCTTCTCTTCTTCTTTTTTTTTGGGGCCAGTTTTGCTGAGACTTGTGTCTCCATATATATATATATATATATATTCACTTTCAATGAATATTATTGATGAATATAAATGAAAATAGTCGACACTGCGTGTTTATTAACATCTTTAGGTTTCCAGGGATAAGGGTCATGTTAGGTCACCATCCTGTCAACACACGCATGTATTCTAACTTATTTTGGCCGCTTAAACGTTGAAGACAGGTTCGTTTAAGCGTGCAGCCCCAACAGGTGCAAGACAAACTTGATTGGAACGCACCCTTCTTTGCTTTCTTGCTGAGAGTTGGATGGGAAGATTGATACCTTTCTACTTTCTCTCCATTAAATATAAAGCTACAGCCGGCATAAACCAGGGGAAGACAGCTAGCTTGGATCTGTCCGAAGATTCAAAAAAACAACAACAAAAAACAACCAGCTCCTCTAAAACTCTCTAATAAAGTCTTTATATGTTTCTTTACAAGCACTTTGGAGCAAATAATCAATAGTAAGTGCATGAAACTACTACTCAGGTTACTCTGACTATATGAATCACACCTTTGTCTCAGTCTGGGCTTTTATAGGCTTTAAGTAGGTTAAGTGGCCTAAGTCATGAACAATAATCTTTTTAAGAAACAGGTGCAGATTTCTGTGAACTAATTGAGATATTAGGTAAAAGAAAAAAGATCATTGCGTTGCATTTGGCGATGCTGAAGCGATAGCTACAGACCAGGGCTAGATTTGACATGCCAGCCTAATTAGTGCGATTATCGCACAGCTGCACAGGCTGAGAGGATTTGAAGTGGTTTTATCAAAAGGATCATTTTCCCGGGGAATGCCTCATCCCGACAGCGTGTGCACTGCCAGACGCATTTTCGGTTTGGGATGTGCAGGCTCTGTCCGCTCCAATATGCTGCAAATTTGAAAGGATGAACTCAGCGTATTAATGCGCATGAGTAAAGCTGCGAAGTTATTAGCTGCATTGTGTTTGCCAAGGGGCACAGGTACTGCCTCAGACCTCACAACAGAACCAGTTATTGGAAGTCTAGTGGCACATAATCATACCAGCTTACCCCTAAAGCAAACTCTTGCAGAGCATGGAGGAGAAACCAAATGTAGGCCTAATCTTACCAAACAGATATGGCCACTGATGGTGGGCTAATTAACAGAATTAACGATTGATGTAATGTCTTACATCAAGTTCAGCTGGGGATTTGCCTTTCTTCCCTAACAAAATAGGGGTAAACAGAAAGACACATAATTGCGACTTAAAGCTGCTCCAATCAATATTTGACTGACCAGGATTGTCCAAGCTAGGTGTCCCGACAAATATCAGTAAAAGTCCCAATTGTCCGATGTCACTACCAAATTTTCGCCACAATAAAAATGATAATATTATACCTGCTGTCAGCGCTTACATAGACTCATTGTAACCTAACCAATTCACACACTGTGAGAGTACATTTTTGATTGCACACGGTGGAAATGCCGATATAAAAGATCATATTAGGATGGCAATATACAGTAGCACGCCTATATACACCTGTATATGTGTTTGTCATATCAACTTTAAAGATGTTTGCTCCTGCTGCCCGCAAGTTAATGCACCTTGAACAAGACATGCACTATAAATACAGGTCTGATGTTCTACTTTAATAACTCAATCAGGGCAGGTCATACCACTAAGTGTACTAGACACCATGGTGGTGATGTCTAGCACCCGTCTTTCATATTGCACAACCTCCCTAAAACATAAATGCATCTCCCACCCTCATTCAAAGAACAACAACGTATTCTCAGTAGAAGAATCTCTGAATACCTCACATAGCTCACTGACTCAGCATGGCTCAGAAAAATCCCAAATTGCCTTGCACGGTGTACACACCAGCGTGTTATTTCGCCTGGTCTGTTTAACTCCTCCCTCTCTCTCTTTGCCCTTGGGTGGGCTAGGCTCCTCAGCGCTCCCCCGGACCTTCATGGCCTCTGCAAGAGCCTCCAGAGTTCCCACCCTCTACCGGCCCTGACGTCACATCAGGTCCGGGTTCGAGACCAGCCGCCGTTTGCCCATCGCCAGGGTCAAGAGCGCAGGAAGGACCGGGAGAGGAGGACCTGGGACCTTTCGTACCACGACACCCAAAACACCTCCAGTGTCCATGTCACACGTCCCTGCGGCCGGCTCATGGAAGTTCTGAAGGTAAGCCCGCCAACACACTGGTAAACCTGTAGGAGCGGCAGCCGAGATGTGAAGGGCGACAATATTCTGTATGAGACGTGGTGGTGGATGCTCTCCTGTGGAGCCTTGATTCCACCTATTCTAAACTGGATTCTGCATTTCCAATATCTTTAAATCACAAATTCAACATGATTATGGACTTTAGCTTCAGAAATTCCTCCGTCTGCGTCAGCTCCTGAGACACAAATACAGTTCTCTGAGAGTGGACTGTGTTAAATCCATATGGGGGATTATCTCTTGACAGAATTCCTGTTTCCAGACATTTGGCATACAACACATTTAATCCTATTTGCTCCACTACACTGACATATTTTCATTCCTGGTATGACCAAAGGGATCCCTGAAAACGTGAGAATATAAGATGAGAAAATGTGTTCTGGAAGCGGTAGAACGCTGCCCTTATCCTGCAAATAAAAACTCTAAGATAGCACTATTAGATAATTAAGTGTTTAAGTTTGTCAAAAGTGTCTGTGAGATATATCAGTGGTCTGCATTGGGTTTACAGATTTCCTGTGTTTACGAGGGCGGCGACTTCTAGTATTTCTGCCAATTATCACAGATATGCATGTAATACCATGAAGTCCAATACATTCTGTAAGACAAGTGTGACGTTGCTGCAGTTGTTTGATGGAGCAGTTCTTTTAAGGTCACCACTTGTTGACTTGTCTGTAGTACCATTTTAATCTTTTATTTATCAGTGTGTTTATTGTTAATCCTTTATTTCAGCATGAAAATCACATCCTGCCAGTATCACTTGCCATGTCTTACTATTTTCACGTGGACTTGTGTCTATGTGCAGAACCAGGAAGTTGCTTTGTTGTTTTCATTTAACATTTCACTGTTGTACATTTTGCTGTTTGTTTTTTTTATGTGCATGGCAATATTTTCTGTTCAGCAAGTTGTTCTTAAAAAGATGGGTGTGCTTGATAAAGAAAAGTATTTGTGAGAACAATTCTCTCATACTGTATTGTTTTGATGGTGAGTCCAGACAGCGATCCTAGTTTCCTGGGCAAATACGTCTTGACAGTTTGAACCTGACCTGTCTGTGGATTATCAAAGACCCCCCCAAAGCTGTGCAGGCAAGGCAAAATTAGCTTAGAAGTACCAGGCAGAGCTGCTGGACCATGAAAGTGAAAACATAAAGCTCAGATGGGGTTGTCCAAAAGGGGAGGGGGACCCTTAATTAGCCAGGTTACCTCTGACCCCAGTGAGAATGAAGTGAAAAAAAAACTAGTTCAGGGATCAAGACAAAGGCTTTACCACACACTCAACTCATAAGTCAGCAACAAGTGATCGTTGGAGTCCTGGGATCATTTAAGAAAAGTAGTCTCTTGTAGTGCAAGATAATCTAAAGCCACAGTAGCCAAGTTCCGAATATGTTTTGCCACATTTTTACAGAATAATGTATTGATTTAAAGCGGTTATTATCGCTATTTTTACAAAAACAATATATCAAATGACAACGTGAAAGGTATTTCTGGTAGTGATTAATCTACAGAGAGTTATCATCTGAATGTGCAGCTCCCATCGGCTTTATGGAGATCTGTAGTTACTTTTAAGCTCATTGTTTAGCTGTCTGACCCATAACTTTAACGTTTTGGTTCACTCTCACCGCTCTCATAGTTTTCAGAGAAAAAGCTCTATAAACCCACTGTACACTACCAGCTTAATGTATCCTCACATGGTTCGTATGATATCCTACCAAGATGTACTCATTTTCCGGGCGTTTTCCTACGAAAGCCTGCAACACGTGTTTAAAATCTGTTCGTTAGTACGCTCTTTTTAAAATAAACTTTACAGGAAACTAGGAAAACTAGTTACGAATGCTGGATGAGACCAGTCTGACCTGCTCAGCAGCAAACGGCAGACAGACACGTTTAAAGACTAGCTGGTGAACATAGTTGAGCATATTTCCCTCAGGAGTTGAGACCAAAAACCGAGCTAAAAAGTGTGTGAATATTGGACATCATGACGTAGCCAGAAACACAACTCCAAATGAATGATGGAAATAAGCAACGGTTCAACTCTAAAAGTTCACCATATCAATTTAGACGTTTAAAGAGCTGATGAGTTCTTCTACGGGACACATGCTTCCTCAAACATTGTCCAATAACAAACAGGCCTATGTAGAAACATTAATAGAGATACAGTAACTCATAGGAAGGACAATGTGCTCTCTTTCTGTTTTCAAAGTCTTCAACTGCCGTTCAAAACGCGTCCGAGCTTCAAACAAGCCTCCCAAGACGAATCGGATATGTTTGACATTGTAAAACTAAACAATGAGGCATTTACCAGGTCAGCTGAGTGTTCTCTTCTTGTGTTCAAGTACGCAAGGCACACTTGCCTCTCTCTCTCGCTAACAGACCTCGGTCCGGCTTCTTCACATTGCCGTCATGGTATTCAAGAGGAGGAGAGACAAGGTCCTGCTTTAATCCAGGCTCTCTTGAGCGTCAACAGGTGCTACTTTACACATATAGTTAAATAGTGAAACAAGGCCTTTAAAGATGTTAAATTCACTCAAATATGAAGAGACGGTGTGATTCAGAAATGTAACTACATCAAAGTGGGCTTTCTACATACGGTAGCTAATTTGAACGAGGACTACCCTCTAACATTTAACTATTGGCTTGAGATCGCACTTTATGCACTGGGACCTTCTTTGAGCTTTAAGTTTCATCACCACAGCTAAGTGTTCTTGCCTGCGGGCTGTAACTGTTCTCCTCAGAATTGAGTTGTGCCTACATTTGTGCGTTCTTGATTTTATCAAAGCTGTTATGACTGTTAGAGCTTCACTAGAGGTAATGTCTTCAGCAGTGAATGGGGCAGTAAAAGAAATCTTCAATCAGACCTAAACAGGCAAAAGCTGTTGTGCAGTATATCAACTGGAACTTCAATGATGTCCTTTACGGTCCTTGTGCGTACTTTTGTAACACTGGCAGTATGTACAGTAGTTAAAGGTGATACATTTGTTCATTGTCAACATGGCTTAGCTGGCTGCTCACAGCACAAACAGTTCACACAACAGTGCTAAGAGTGTTGGGGAACCTGTTGTCCCTGATATCATACAACAGATGACAGGAAGTGATTGCAGGGCTGCATATGTAATCTCCTGAGATACGGAGTAAGCTACTGTCTTGTTTCTATATTTGCGGTTCTGCTTACTGTGTGTACACAGTATTAGTCTTCTGACTCCTAAAAGCATGGAGCATAGAATTGATCTATCCGCCAAATTTTCCTCCTTAATTTTATTTTTTTGAAAAGAAATGAATCAAAGACAGTTATTTCATGGCACAGAACAGCCCTGACTTTTAAAAAATCACCAGATTCATCTCCACGTGCAGTCGTTCGTGGCTTACACTGACCTTTTCCTCAAACTCCAGGCACATTGAGCTGAATAAGGCTACGTCTTCGTGCTCTTTGATTTTCGGTACTACATTCTGAGGTCTCAAACTTGCCTAAGAGAGCCTTTTGTTTCATAAACTCATCAGACTATACCTAGAGCTCTTGTCTAGTAGCCAGTAGATTCTTCAAGATAAGGTTTTCAGAAAGGTTTAAAATCCACCGCAAGAATTTTTTTAGCAGTTTGCCTCTTAAGAGGTTAATGAAACAATTGTATTTTATTTTGTAACGCTGCACTTCATCTTTAGAACATGGTAGTGCTGCACTGGGTGATATATGTCCTCGCTGTTTGACGTGAACACACATTAGTATCTCTACAGTTTCACACTGTTAGAGCAAGCTTAGTCCATTGCATAGCCCCTCATCGGGCACCATAACAAGGTTCCGTGCGTTTATTTTGCTGCTAAATTAAGCTCCATTGTTTGTCACGTTAGCAAGTTCGTGTTCCTAATCCCACACAGACTGGACAATGCGCCTCATTGTTGGAGTCGGATGTTAAACATACTGTAGCCGCAGGGTAAGAAGCAGAGAAGACATCTCTTTGTTCCAGGCTCCTCTTCTTGATTGGGTGGCATGCCTCTGCTGTAGCTGCCATTTGCTCCACCGAGTTGTTACTAAGGGCATCAGGCAAGAGAGCAGAATCTACAGGCGATGGCAGAACTCAGCTCATCCAGTAGTTGTTCAACTAAATATCCCTCCTATCATCACAGCCTCGATGTTACATGTTGACAACCAGCTCATAGATCAGTCTCCTAATTCCTTCACTCTCCCTTGCCTCACCCCTTTTGGGATCCACTTGTAAAATGGAAGCGCTAGGGAACACTGTTATTAAATTCTCCCCCCCCCCCCCCCTACCGGTCACTGCTACATCGTCTGCCTCCACCCCAACCAAGCACATTTAGCCCGGCTGGCCAGACTGATAAGGCCAGTAAGGTCCCCAAAAGTTTGCCTTATCAGCCTCTGATTTTAGGGATATCTGTATGGAAGTATATTGACAACAAAAAATTGAGAGAGCACTAAACAGATTTGAGCGCTATCTTTGAAAGCTGACTGGCGCAGACTTGTAAAATCCGGCAACAGGGATGTTCAAAGCTACTTGCACTCACTTTTAGCCAGTCTGAATCCCCTTAGCGCAAACTGGGACAGTGCCATTTTTTAACCAACTGATGGGGAGAAAGAGAAGTATTTTGGTGTCTATTATCCTACAAATCTAAATGCAATAAAAAAAGACAAAAAAACGCACGTCTATAAAATTAGTTTTTTTTCTTTTGAAAGAGATCACTGATCCAGATTACAGCAGCCCAGCAGCAGCATTGTGAACTAGTTAAAGGCTTATATTATCCAAGAATCAGTGGTTGATGCAATAGTCAAGTCAAAAGAAGATTAAAGCATGAATGACTTGGTCAGAACGTGAAAGCATTGGTTTGATTTTGGAGATAGTTCTTATTTAAAGGGATTGGACAGGTTTTTTGAATTGTTGTTTGAAGCTTAAATGTGGTGGCTCTTGGCTTTGTGTTAAGGGACCAAGGCCATTTTCAATGAGACTGAGAGGATTTGGGGGA